GAGGAAATACAGACAGCCCTAAACTGCAATGCTAATGATAAGAAGCAACATCAAGAGCTGCAAGGGGGGGAATTTCCATCCAGCAAAGCTGGCTATGGATATAGGAAGGCTTTAAACTGCGCACTAATACAAACAGACAGAAAAGATAAGAGAACTAATACAACCTAACCACCTTATCTCCAGAGGCATTCACTTGGAAGAAAAATACTTTGTCAAGGTTTCCTGAAAACAGTTAAGCGGTCCATAGCTTGTCCCTCTCCCCCTCCCACATCTACATTACTGGTAGCCACAAGCCAGCTTAGCAGACTTCCTTCATATGATTCTTCTCTTTGGCATTGAAATATCTAGTTCACTAGAGTATGCTGACAAGGGGAAAAAATTAACCCTCTATACAGTGCAGTGAGCAAGGAAAACATTGTACTATGTACAGCTGAAGACCGGGCAGAATAAAATGCAATGTTATGGTAGAATATTACATAAGTGACAGTAAACTTCCCAAGTAAAATTATCATTCCACCTATCAGTTGGACAGAGAAAGAGCTGAAGTATAAGAACAATGGCTGTAGTAACAATGAAGTAGAGTAACAATGAGTAACAATTGAGTAGACCTAGGTGAAAAAAATGTCAAAACTGGAAAAGTAATGCAAACTTGCAGAATTCTCCTCATGGTACTTGATTTGGTGGATACTTCCTGAAGAATTATTTTCTTAATTTGAAAGCACTGAGGTGTGCAACTATCAGAAGTTGGGCTTTTTATTAACCAACCTAAAGAAAACAGAGTTGTAATCAAGTGAAAGTGCAAGCTGATGACTCTGTTAGTGAATTTTTTATTTGCCACTGTCTGGAGATGACACAAATCTCAGACAAAAACTTTCATAAAGCACAATGAGAGTTTGCCTTGCAAGGGCTCCTGGATCGAAGCTTTAGGACACTTCTTCTTCATGATGTAAGTTTAATTTAGATGAGTGATCTAAGAAAGAAAACTTCACTGAGGAGAATGAATAATGGGTGGAAGCAGATAAAGGTGTTAGATGGGACAAAAGTGTAAAGAAAACTGAGGGGCAGCCCTGCAGAATTTTATAGAAACACATAGCAAAAATAACTAATAATCTCTGAGAACACTGCTGAAAAGAATTTGAATACAAAAAGAGAAGATGAAATGTAGGGACACATACAGTAAAGTTACAAAAACATGTAATTTTCCTATGGTAAATTTACCACTGAACATCCTGGTCTAACAATAGTACTGTGGTTCATGGTAAATTTACCACAGGAAGACTACATTTTTGGTGACCTCAGCTCGAAGCTATCAATCTAAGAATAAGGGCAGTGTAAGCATTTTAGGAGAATTTTGTGTGCAACTTAAAAAAGCCAAGATGAATGTAAAGATAAGAAGGCATTCCTAAGAAGAGAGAGCTGGAAAGCCACAGAGCAGTTGGCCAGAGATCTCTTTCAGCAGAAGGTTCAAAATATTAGGAAATATCCCTTGATTATCTAGCAAATGTAATTAACAATTTGATTGAACTGTTAAAACATGACAGCAATTTCATAGCCATCTTCAAAGTAATTATTACTTCCTCAGATAAGAAGCTACTGGATATAGTATGTTTGAATGTCAATTCATCAGTTTAATACCATGTAGTAAAACACAGAAATACTGGAGAAGTGCCAACAAGATAAAGTTCATCACATGGCCCAGAAAGCTTGTTAAGCAGGTGGTGAATAGAGTGATCATAAAAAGTCCCGTTCTTTGTCCCTTTCTGGTTTAAGCAGTACACGCAATTTTAATCACACTGAATGACATCAATAGCACAATTTGTATAAGCACAACCTGCTATAATGGACCCAGAATTCAGTCCAGAGAGAGGATGTCCTAGTGGGGAAGAATAACAAGTAATGCAATCAAAATCAACCCAGGGACTTATATCACACATCATATATTCTCTATCAGCCACATTCAGGAAAGTTCAAATAATCTTTGGAGATGGACATCTCACAGACAGTCCAACCAGGGATTTATCATAAGAATGCTTTTATTTGTTCCATAATGAGGTGATGAAATACAGAACATGTATATAACCCACAGCTAGAACCAAATTAGAGAGACAGCAGGTACTTCATGGGTCAGGATGAAAGGAATGAAAAATGATTTTGATAAATTGTAGGAATGAACTGAAATTAATGAAATAGCACTGTCTACGAAACTGTGAAAAATTAACGCTGTTTGCACAAAATGAAGAGTAGTAGACTATTTGGCTAGCAGATTACAAAGAGAGTAGGAGTTTAAATTATGTTGTTGATACCAAACAAACATCATTCTGGGACATATTAACAGAACTGTGATACATGTGGGCTACAGGAAGTAGCAATGTAATTTTCAATGTCAAGAGAGAAGCCTCAGCTGGATAATTATGTCGCTGGGGGTGCCATGGTTGAGGAAAGCTGTAGACAAACTGGAAAGAGGCCAAAAGCAAGCACCAAGTATGATAAGTGGGTTGAAAAACTTGACCCATGAAGCGAGGTTGAAATGGTTTGTTTAGTCTAGAAAATGTAAGATTGGTGGGAGATAGAACAGTCTGTAAATGTATAAAATGCCAGTAAGAACAGCAGGAAATTTCTTATGCAAATGTTAAGAGTTGTGCAAGAACATTGAGGGACTGAAACTGTAGGTGCAGGATGTGTAATCTGGACTTAGCAAAACAGTAAAAAATTAGAGGGATAGTAGTGTCACTAGAACACGAATACAGTAATAGTAAGATACTGCATGTTAATAACTTTTTGTATCAAAACTAACTTGGAGAATGACATTAATAGGTGTTTATTGTGGTAGTACTAGAAGCATATAAGAGTTCTAGATTTAGTTGGATCTGAATGTGACTCGAGATTTCTGTGATGCTAGTGACCAAAAAATGTAAATGAGAATTATGCAAGTATGGAGGACTCTGACATTTCTCATCGAGACTGAAGAATAAAAAGAACAATTATTCATAAGACCTCCGTATTCCTGAACATGAAGATCAATGCCCTTTTTTCATTAGATATTCAGACAACTTTAATAACAATTTTAACATGGTTAATGAGGATGTTATAAAATATCTAGTCATAGAAAACAAGCTTGTATGGCATGGTTATGAGTAGACTTTAAATTAAACAGGTGAGTAAACAAAGTACATATAAAACAAAATTCCTGATTTCAGAGGGAAACATTTTGATAAATTAAGGGAATTCTCAGCTGGACTGAGAAGCTCTGGGACAAGCAGGTTCCAGGGACCTGGAATGTATGTTGTCAATGGTGCAAAGAAAAGTGTATAGAAGAGGCTTGAGATAAAATGGACAACTATCCATCTTTAAGATATGTTTAGAATAAGCAGACATCTTACAAAATAATACGCAAAAGTATGGAGAAGCAAAAGAAGTTGTATCTCGAAATCAAGAAGTGAAGAGTAATAATTAATGTTGAATAGAGGCTGGAAGGAAATTACTTTCAGGGATAAGGCTTGAAATCAATCTTGCTTAATATTTTCATGGTAACTTGGCACAAAATACAGGGGCTTTCTGATGAAATCTGCCAATAACAAAAAACTGGAAGACATTAACAGAAAAAAATGGGGATATCATATAGGGGAAGCTGGATCACCTTCAAGTCTAAAGTAATACAAATGGGACAAAATTGAATAGGATAACATGCACTTGGGTACTAATAACAGAAAGTCCTTCCAGAAACTGGAAACTCTATGTTTGGAAATGGCTATGGAAGAGAAGTACCGAGGTGTAAAGGGTTATTCCAAAATGAGTAGGAGCTTCTAATGGCACACAGCTGTAAATAAGGCAAATGTTGTTCTGTGACATACCGAAAGAGGTATTTCTAACACAAATAGGGAAGACCTAATGTCATTGTAAAAAGAGCTGGCAAAAATGTCTGTGTATGACTAGGTACAATTTTAATCAGCCCTCTCCAAGGATACACAACTAAAACACAAAAGGAGAAGGGTTAGTCAGTTGATGAGAGAAATAGAAAGCATATTTTACAAGGAAAACTTCAGAGACCTGGATTGATCAGAGCGGCAAGAGAACAGCTCAGAAGGGATATGATGGTTGTCTATAAATACATCTGAAGAACAAATACCAGTCAGAGGAAAGAAGTATTTAATCTAAATAATAAAGCTGGCACAGAAACAAAGGGACATAAATCAGCCATGAGTATGAATAGAAATTAGAGATACTAATTATTAATGCAAACAAATTCTTGAACTGTCTTCCTTTGGGAGTAATAGGCACAAAAAAACTAATTGTTTTTAATGGACACAGTAAGTTTATGAAAGGGATGATGCAACATAGCTGCAAGTGATTGCCAGCATTGAATTTTATTATCTAGAAAGACCTTTCCCGCCTTGTGTTTCTATGTTGTTATAAAAAAATCATTAATTCTTTTTGTCTATTTCCACCAAGTTAGGATATAAAATGTTCAGTTTCATTTGCAGGTTAGAGAACAATGTCAACTTTCTATTAAGACACTGAAGCACTTGAGCAAACTAGCTAAGAAAGTTTTCGAGAACCACTTGAGCAAATATTTGACATGGCTTTTCTAGGTGTACTTGGGCAGGCTTACAGAATTGGGTTGGTCTTTTGAGGTCCTTTCCAACCCTAAATTTCTATGAGAAAATATAGGCTCATATCTTTCTGGACTCTGGCTTAGCAAAACGGCAAAAACTCCAAGTTATTTCTGAGAAAGCTGTTGAGTAATTTACACTCTGTAACTTTTGAGATATTTGCAGTGGTACATTATTTATTATTTTTCCAGTGTTCAAAATGTTCTAGGAAATTCATAAAACAAACCCACTTCCCAGCAGAAGACTGGAAGCTTTTGGCTTTCACACCTGGGGAGCCTGGTATACAGAATACAAAATACCATTATTGTAGTTAGCCTTCTCTAGTAGAGAAAATGTAGTTTGGTGTGAGCTCCATTGTAAAATGCTTTTCTTCTCTGAACTTCTTCCCAGAGTGGCAACAGGATTCTGTGTTCTATCATTCTGGACCACTACCAGGGGCCATCAATAATAAACTACGATGACGAGAATGGCAAAACATGTATGCACATTGCTGCTGCTGCAGGCTACAGTGATATTATCAGTGAGCTGGCTAAAGTCCCAGAGTGCAATCTGCAGGCCCTTGATGTGGATGACAGGTAACCATGGAAACTCTGAAACTGAAATTGCTGCTTCCTTTCTATTAACCTGAGACTAGCTCTGTTTATTCTATAATCGTGCTTCCTGTTTCACAGGCCATGGCCTAGTTAATGAACTGCACTTACAGAGAACCATGCTTGCTCAGAAACACTGCAAAGCAGTCCAGCTCACATGTACCATATTGACTAGTAGGAATGTTATTTAACTTTATGCTTCTGGTAGGAAATGATAAGATTATGTGTGAAAGGACTGTCACCACTTGACTTAACTTCTTTGAATCAAAAGCAAACATTCTTTTCAAAACAACAGAACAGGATCCTACAACATGAAGTTGGGATCCTGCTGCTATTTGTATTTAAGAAATTACAATGTTCCCTTGTTGCATTTAAGATGTTATTACTACAGGACCAGGGGACCTTCACCTTCCATTCTGACAAGGCATTTGATTCCTTCCAGGATTAAATCCCGATATCATAAGTGCAGAAAAGTCATCTTCTTTCCTCTTTTTCACCCCACACCTACCTCCCTTGGAAATTTGCTCATAAATTTTTTTAATGCAAACAGAACCAACTGACTCTTCGCATTTTTTATCCTGCTCAGTGGAGCAAAAGCCAAGGTTTTCTTGGCTTACGCCTTCAGGTACTTAAAATAATAGCATTCTTCATGGAAAAATGCAATAAAATGGAACAGAAATAAAAACAACAGGGTTCTGGAGAAGTTTCTAAACATCAGTAAAATGTAGTTGAGAAGGCTGTGTTTCTGTGGAAAGAAGGGTGAAGGGAGGAGTTTAACTACACTTAAGAGCTCAGTAAGACACGACCTCCTATTACATGTTCTCAGATATTTCCATAGAAGGTATTATACTTGAAGAGGGGAAAAGATAAGCTGTTCACTATAAACATGCAGTAGTTTCCATTCTATTGTGTTTCTGACTGCACCCATCTGAAATCACTGGAATTGCAAAGAAACGGGCAGAGAAAAGTAAATTTTATTTTTTATTCTTGCACAGTTTTCTTATGGTGTTTTCTGTGCTTTCAGATTTTTCACAAGAGCAAAATATTACAATTTGGAAACTGGACAAAAGTTTCCAAAGACAAGATACAAATCTTCGTTCAAGCATAAAATCAGTTTGCTTCTCCTACACATATTCAAGACAATTATATCTGCTCCGGTCTGTGCCCATCAAAGAACACAGAAACTGACAATGGGGCAATGACAGTCTGGTAGATGTGTCCAGTCCTTCTCATTCATCTGGGGGAGCCTTCTTCTCCTATTACCTTCATAGAGAGCCCTGAGCCAACCATTGCTAATTGTGTTTGGTGTAAAGATGAGAAGAACTTGTCCCTATGCAGTGGACACTACAAAGATTTTTTTCAAATTCTGCTCTGAGAACTTCAGGCACTCTTCCCACTCTGCAACTCCAGCAGCAGAAGAGATGCTATTACATAGCATATATAGGCATTCTGCAGCCCCATATCTACTTTCTCTGCAGCTAAATAGATGCACATAGATAGATGCCAGTCTATGGTCTTATTACCACCACTGGTAGCTACATCAGTGTGGGATAAGTTGCTGGACAATTCCTTAAAATGGATGTAATGAATCCAGATGAGTAGCATAGGAGCACACCTCATTATGTCATTAATAGTTTTGATAGTAAATTTATTCATCTATTTTAATGATACTCCCCCTTTTCTGTAGGACGCCTTTGCACTGGGCTGCAGCAGCAGGGAAAGCTGACTGTGTGCAGACACTGCTAGAGCTGGGGATAGACAGCAGCCCTCGAGACATCAATGAAAACACTCCTCTGACATATGCAATGTACTGTGGGCACACGGCATGCATCAAGCTGCTGTCTCAGGAGAGCAGGTAAAGCAAAAGTTCACATCTTGCTTACATGGTGCCACTGACTAGAAAACAAATTTATTGCTTTTTGTATGCTACTGAAGGGTTTGAGCCCTGGGTGATGTCCCCTCGATTCATATGCAATAATCAGTTCAAGTTTTCCATTAAAATAGCAACATTAGAATTAGTCATCTACTGAAGACTCATCACTGCGGTTACAGTGCTAGTCTGCCGATCAGCAGAGGGTTCTGAACCAAGAAGATGTAAGTATAGCTCTTGCTCAGTCACCTTTGTGCAGAAAATTTATCTTACAGAATAATTTCAGACCTCAGATACTTGCCTTCCACTTTTTAGAAATCTCTATGCACTAGCTGTGTGTTCCTGTAATCAGACAGAGGGATAGACTGAATACAAAAGCAGCTTTACCAGATAGATAATAAAATAAATTTCAAGTTTTCATCGTCAGGGTAAGGGTTTGGGAGTGTTTTCCTAGCCTTCTTTAGTTCTCTACCTTGATTGTCTCTTCTGAGTTTTTTTTCTGTTAAAAAGTATAATTCTTTTACCATTGCTTGTGATCTTCTTCTCTCTTAATATTTCTCATGTTTCAGCAGCTGTCATTTAATTAATTTCAGTTCTTTGACTTTGGTAAATGAGTATGCACTTACAAAGACATTTATCAGCACATTTCTTTGTGCTTTCCCCTCCTTTCCAGTCAGCAGTTAGTATTATTTCCTGTGTTACAAATTGAGACATGGGTAACATTACCTCTCTTCCTCCTCCTGCGCTCTGCCTGTTGGAGTAGGTCTGCAATGTTGATTAGTCAAAATCTCATCTAAAAACCACTACAGCAACACCACTGTAGGCAATTATCTTGATCGATAGATCTTCTGAAACTGTGCTGTGCCTCTTTAGTATGGGCAAGGGAAGGGGAAAGGGAAAAAGAAAAGGAAAAAAGGGAAAGGGAAGGAATGGTGACCTAGTGCCTTTAGTACAGTGTTAGCAATGACTGTGCTGTTAGAAAGACCATTTTCCAAATATGACATAATACAAAGACCACTTGAGTTTAAAGATCGCAGCATGTTCTTCTTGTTATTACTGGATCTTGCCTCACCATTAAGACTTATGATTCTGCAGCTGGTAGATGCTGAAGCCAGAAGAGTTTGTGTGGTTTTTTTTCCTGATAGCTGCACTGAGCCTACATTAAGATAAATGTAAGGCAATGAACCCCGTAAGAAAGAGTAAAGTAACACGGTATCATTTTCAGTCTTTGTTAATAACAAATTTGGAGTCCTAATTTTCTACCTCCTTGAACCACCCCTGCAAATGTATCTGAACAGTATATACCCTATTTCATGGGCTAACACAGGCTGTATATTTTTCATTATTTGGCAGTAATGACATCACATTTTGATTTGTACTTCCAATAGATCTGAGCCAGTTCATCAGTTTCCCTCCCAGAACAACAGACTCCTAAAGAAAGAAGGACGATTCAGTATGCTGAACCACATCTTCTCTTGCAAAAAGAAGAAAGATGATCAGAAAACCGGTCAAAAGGAGAGAAGCAGAGACCGATACCTTAGAGAAGAGACCTCAGAAGTAGATGACATCATCACCACTTTTGATTGCATTATGGACACAAACTGCAAAGACATTCCAGATGAGTGTGTGACCACTGCTGACTTCAAAAGAAGGAGCACAGACACAAAGTATCTCATACCAGAAAAGAAGCAACCAGAGTGTCAGGGACTTCTGCCCGTCAGAACCCAGAGCCTCCCCCCAATCACTGCAGGCAATTCCTTCCTAACTGCTTCCCAGAGCACGTCAAGCTTCTCCTCCAGCACCAGCACCCACCATTTTGCACACAAGTCTCAAAAGAGTAGGAGTGAACACAACTTGCTGGACCACAGAAGCAGCTGCCAGGCTTTGTTGGATGATCCCTGGAACACAGACTCTAACCAACTACTCTCCTACAAAGTCTGTACTAGGACTCCTTCAGACAAACTGATAAATGGCTTAAACTCTGATAGATCTCACCATGTGCTTTTGTGCCCTCCCCGCCTTCCCTCACTTCCCAGTTCTCCATCAGGTAATTTCTTTCTTCTCTGTCTCCCAAATCCTATAATCTCTACTGATGTAGCAAGCTGAGTCAGAAAAAACAGGTAAGTCTGACCCATGACATTTCTATTTCTTTAATATCTTTTTCAGTTTCTTCCCCCTGTATGTAGCAGCAATCACAGATAGCGTATGGCCAGGACATTAGCTGACAGCTGAAGCAAGGTGCTTAGGTGTGGGAAATAAGAAATTTAAGTAGGTCTGATGAGCAAGCAAAAATGCAGGTATTTAGGAAGCATGTAAGGTACCTGAGCAAGGTAGGTGCCTCCAGATTATATATGTGCTTTGTGAATTGCACATTAACATCTACAGCATTGCCTGCTGTCTGCTGTCTGCATTTAGTCCTGAAACTAGATGTGCAAGGGAACAGTACTGCATTCAAATCTCTAACTGTGCTGAGAGCTGCTTCTGGATCCAACCAGGTAAGCCCACGTGTGCCATGCTGGACGGCTCTGCACCATGCCACTTTCCCCTTACAGACATATTCTGTACAGACTCCAGTCTGTAGTGTCACCCCTTCCCACTCCTCCCACCCCGAGTGCCAGCTCTTTGGTCTCACGTGCTGTTCTTATGGTTTCTCCAAAGCTGAATTCAGGTTGCTAAATTTACAGAGACAGAGTAAATGCTTTTATGTTGTGGTTTGGAAACTGTAATGCAACAGTAATGAAGCAGAGCATCAGAATTCTGAAGTAAACTCAAAACCAGGGTTTGGCAGGCTTTGGGATCTAGTACTTTGTTTGACTCACATCCATGCTTAAATGAATCTGGCTGGCTGGCCTGCGTGCTGGAGTTTACTTCAACATATCAGTGTCTCCGACTTCATCTCCTTTGGGATTAGTCCCATGACAAAATTAAACACATCTAGCATGCCTTCCAACCACTGTAATATCCAACTGAAAATGAAGCAAGCAAAAGCAATCCTCAAACTTACCAGTACACCATTAGAAGGAGTAAACATTACACAATAAATTAATCTACCCTCACCCCAACAGACATGAGCCGTTCTCCTCCAGTGGAAAG